AATCTAAGCATTTCAGAAAGGCGGGGCATAGAGGAGAAACAATAATGTACAGTATGTGGAAAATAATGTGTTTTTTGAGTCTTAAACCGCATAAACACATTTCATTACACCAAATACACAAAATAATGTTCTTTTTAGCAACATCATATGACCCCTTTAAAACCTTCTTTGTCTGGGATATGAATGTGTATTGTAACAGAACACGATTATTCATTTATATGTAATCAGTGTCAAAGGAGGTGCGAAGCCCCAGGCCGGCATATGTGCTGCACCGTGTAGGTCAAGTTGTGATGGAGACACAGAATCAGATGGTGGGGGTGATCATGGGATGGGATGCAGGACTCAGAGCCCCACCAGAGTGGATCAAGAGAAAGAAATACTCAGACTCAGAGGTTTGTAAAATACATAAACACTGTTTTTATTTAAATGAAATAAGTCATACACTCTTAAAAATAAAGGTTCCAAAAGTGGATTTTCACAGTGATGCCATAGAAGAACCAGTTTTGGGTTCCCCAAGGAACCTTTCAGTGATTAGTTTTTAAAATAACCCCTTTCTTAGTGTGAAAAGCATTAAAATAATCTATAGAACCTTTAGTTTTAAGAGTGTAAATGTTCTAACCTGAAACGTGTATTTGTGTGTAGCTGGAGAGAGCCAAGGACACTCCTCATTACAGAATTATGTTCAGTGGACCTGATTCTTCATCAATACTGATTGGATACATTCCCCAGTATAATGTCAAGCTCTTTCAAGGCTTTCAGGTGCAGAGAAATCTTTTACCTTTATTTCCTTCTTTTAACATTTGTGTTTTCTTCATAGTTTCTTAGGGTTGTTTAGATTCCATCTTAATCAGTGTTTGTGTCTGTCTTGTGCTACAGCCGGACATACCTACTCTAGAGCACTACTTTTCACACTTCGATGGGGAAAAGTTTGTTATGGAGGAATGGTTGCAAGAAATCTACCCTCACGACTGAAGGAGTGAAAACTTGAGAGAAGTTTTAAAAACACTTTGAAATGCTCGGAAACACGCATGATGTCTGCAACCCTTTATTGACAGTATTGGTTCTTTTAAAGCAATGGAGGGCTTTAAAAGGTTTGGGGGTGGCAACAAAGACAAAAGGAAGCAAGTCAATTTGAGAGATATACATGTAAACTGGGTAATTTCAGTTATTAAACTTAGTCTTGTGGAATATATGTAAATATATGTTAAGTAGCTTTCTCAGGGCAGAACTAAACACAAAATGCTGTATTTAATATCACTTTTATATTTTTAGAATAATTTAAAATGTCTTGCACACTTTGCAAAGAATATAAAGTTGTGAGAAAAATGACTGTGATGTTAAAAATCAATTATAGATTAAATTAAATGTTTTATAATATGCAATTAGATCAAAATCCACACATGTTGATCTGACTCAGATGTGTTCCAGAAAATGAATCAACTTAACTTTCAGTTAATATGATAGGCTTTAGCCTGAGAAAAACAGAAGGATTTGTTGTTTAAAACAGTATTGAGAATGTGGTAAACAGTGTTCAAAGTAAATCCATTAATACAAACATGATTTATTATTAAAGCCTAATTTATTTAAAATAGGCCTGCTCGAAATGGTGTGTCTTTCCTTCTTAAAAGCCATCAGTCTATGTGCCATTCCCATAGTGCTTTGGGAACCACCCTCCTCTAAAAACACATCTTAGTAATAGTAATTAAAAAAACATACATGTTTTAGCCACATTAATGACGAGTTTGGGAACTAAAGTGAATGATAAAAATGATAAAGTGAACTTCTTGCAGGAACATGAAATCTGGTTATGTCGCATGCCAGCGTCACGTGTTCGGCAGGTGCAGGTGTGACTGTTTTTTTTCCCTTTTCCTTCAAGCATTAGGTTTTTGGAGTGATGGACCAGAAATAGCAGTCATTTATTTATTTTTATTTTTTTATTTATTTAGTCATTTATCAGACGCTTTTATCCAAAGCGACTTACAAATGAGGACAACAGAAGCAATCAATTGTAGTATTAAAACAACTAAAAACAGATCCAAAACTAAAAGCTAAAACTTTATAAATACTACTTATACATACTTTAAAAATAAAGAGAGATATTGAAGAAAAATGCGATATGCGATAACTCATTAAATAATGCCATGTTTGATATGCCATACGATAATGCTTAAAGTGCCACATGCTCAGATGAAACAGTTTTACTCAGCTGTTGCTGAGTCAGTTCTGTGAACTTCTATAACTATATCTTGTGTCATATACAGTGGTGTAGTGGAGGGTATACGCCACTTCTTTATCAGTCGGCTTTGCGTATACCCACTTCTAAATCCCCTCTGATGCGCATACCTGTACAGTCAGGTCAAGGCAGTAAATTTAGTGATCTTTTGGCGTCTCCTTGTGGTCCTGTTTGATATTGCAGCTTGACTAGTGCTTAATTGTATTAAAAATGCTCTAAACAATTTTATTTTTTATTTTATTGAATTTTTTATTTTTTGCACTATATAGTAGGCTATATAGATAAATTGTAAAAAGGTATGGGGGAAGTAGGGGGTTACTATTTGCCCGTCACTGTATGCCATGG